CTTCCGTCTAGCTAGATACTACAATTGTTCAAATTCATTTTTTTCATTTGGTAGCCAAAACGTTCTCCTCCACTAAAGCTATTGAATGCGATCAAGCACGGTGAAGTTTCTTGTCTTCACAGGTGTCAGATTTACTGTTAGTTCTCTCTCTCTCTCTCTGCAGTGAGATCAAGGAGCCTGCTGACTTATGAGGGACCTTATCCACTTGAGGAACAGCCCTTCTCAGAACATAGCAATGGCTGGGACAGGCACCTGGATGCTTCCAAGGCCCTGTCTTTGGAACCTGTATCCAGATCACAACCCAATCAGGTTACAGAGATCACAATAGCCAATGAGACAAGGCTAGAAAAGTCAGTGCTGGTGGGGCTGCAGCAGCACAGGTGAGTATTTGGCAAAAATGGGGTGGGGGCAAGTACAGGTGGCTCAGTGCCCATTGTAAGTGTTTGGTTTTGAAGAATGATAGTGGGAAAGGGAAATGGAAGCCTGCTTTAGTGAGAAACAGAGAAATCAATCTGCTTTTTTTAACCAATTCTCATTCAGCTTGATGACAAATAATTTGCTTTCAAAGGAAAAGAAAATTTCATTGAAATTCTCAGGGATGCAGTGTGATGTAGACCCTTTTTAGCTACAAGGTGACTAAGGGGTGGGTGTAAATGTTATGTATTTGGTTGTATAATTATTTATCCAATGGACTGAAGCCTTCCTGGTTTCCCATGCTTCTATTAAATCCCTAGGGGACTCTTCCCACTGGACTTTTTCACCAGCAAAAACACTGGGTTTGCCCTATCCTTGAGAAATCATTAGAGTATTTCTTCTTCCCATAGGGAAATACAGAGATGCTGTCCACCTAATTTCTCTGTTTACAGATGTGGTGGGAAATTTCAAAAGGCCATTAAGTTCCACTCTAGATTGCTCATTTCTTCCAAGAAAACAGCATGGCCAGAGTGATTGGAAAGATAATAGAGCCAGTCAACATGATGAATGAACAGTACTTGGGAAACATTCCTTGCCGAAATTACTACAAAAAGCCTATGCACTTGGAAACAACCTCTAGATAACCCTTGCTGCAGAAGGCAGTCTGGATTTCCTTTTTCCAGAGTGGTTATAGCTCAATGCTAGAATCAGGACTGTTATCCAGATAGAGAAATAGATAGATGATTGATTGATTGATTGATTGATAGATAGATAGATAGATAGATAGATAGATAGATAGATAGATATAAACTAATTGATCATATGAGTGTTTTTCATCTGCATACATTTGCAGATGAGGAAAAGTAATTGTGTCAAAGGACAAAAAGTATGGTTTCTTTGTGCCAACATCATTTAAAATCTGTACCACAGTAGGCATTACTTTAGAAAAGAAAGTTTTGTGGGGTTTTTTGCCTACAGATGGCAATGTTAAAAATGACACATGCCATCTGCAAGTTTTATAAGAACTCAAATTTTAAAAAAATGCTGCCTGGTTTGTTGGAAACACCTTTTTGGTTAATTGAAAATGGAGTTTTTGAGCAATTAAACAAACACATTAATAATATAATCATGTGCATGTCTACTCAGAAGTCATTTCCATGGAGTTCAATGGGACTTGCTTCCAGAAAAAAGATTGTAGGATTGCAGTTCAATTGAGTAATTGTTATAATTCCAGGTAGAGAACACACTTTGCAGGTGAGAGGTCTCAAATTCAAACCTTAGCATTTCAAAGTTAAATGTTCTTAGATGGGAAAGTTGGGGTTTATATTGCTTGAGATCTTGCCACTGTGAAGTGAAGCTAAATTGTTCACAGTAACAATTAAAAAAAAACAAAGTAGTCATTTTTTGGTTTGCTTGGTTTTATACG